GGAGCTCAGACCCCATTCCAAAAGGTTGGTCAGCTCCCAGGAGTTGATACAGGAAAGTGACTATGTCCAGTCCACCAAAATCCACCAACTTTAATATGTTGCGTGTGACTTGCTTTCTCAGATTTAAACGAACAAAATTGTTTTTATCTTTTGATTTAGAACTTGAATCTTCTGTATCTTTTAATCCCAGCGAGGTCGATGCAGAAATGTTTTAAAAAATTGTAACTTACAAAGGAAAGACACAACATGATTATTTTATTACCTAAAAGGACACCAACCATATGTAGATGTGTCTAAAAAGGTCTGTGCCAAAGGTTGCGTTTTGGAGAAGATGAAAAACATACATAGATTTCCTGTAACTGCTTATTACTCCCAAGGGAGTGTAGTTTATCCAGATAGAGACTAACAGCTATGTATACTCAGTCTTCTGGTCACAACAGGATCTAGTTATCCTAGCATGCTTGTTGTTGTGCAGAGAAAGGAAGCCACCTGGAAATAGCCAATCCATGCACGGGGGAGAACATGCCAACCCCACATACAAAGGCCTCCAGCCAGGATTTGATCCAGGATCTCTCCTGCTGTGCGACAACAATGCTAACCATCGCACCACCATGCAGCCCGGAATATTAAACAAGCATTTTTAAAAAATGACAAGCAAAAAGATGCACGATGTTGTTCTTTGGGAGTCTTCAGTATCAACGTTTCACCTTGCAATTTATTTGCAGGGAATTAGTTATAGCAAACAGAGTGTCTGAGGTCAAAACACCCATGCATTTTTTACATCCCTTATCTTGTTCTTTCTCCCAGCCCGGCCCATTTTCTCTCTTCTCTTTTCCTCCTCTTTGTCCCCGAGACGAGCATGCTCGCTCTGTAATCAGTCCTTTCAGCATTGGCCATTTTGTTTTATCCTTATCTGCAGTTCTCAGTTTCCCTCTCTGTCATTACTCTCCTATTAGCTTTTCATCCTGGGGCTAAAACACTGACCTTATAGTCGCTGCTATGCTCAACACGTCTGCTTTGCATGATGGCCCTTTCTTCACCCCTGCATGCTCTGTCTCCCTGTTTGTATCTCTCCAAACAAATTCAACCCCATCAGCACACGCAACCATAAACACAATGCTCGGGACAAATAAATCGGACGGCTCAAACACACACTTCATTATTTTCCATTGAACGAATCGTATGGGATGAAATAGCCAAATTAGCCTGTTTTATTCAATCCCATTGTTGGTGGAGAGAGAGACCGGACGTAACACATCTGTCTACAAGATCCCTATTTTAAAGACTGTAAATAAATTATTTTCACTTGTATTTTTGGACAAAAGGCATGTGTATACTCAATAATACCAGAAATTTCTTCAGTGGGATCCAGTCAGTCCTATGTGGTGCCTGCACATTTCTTAGTAATGTGTTTAGTTTTTCAAATAGTGTGATGTTTGCCTGCATAGTTTACTTTTAGTCATCTGAATTCCTCCTCTATTTATTTTTTTCCTGTGCCATTTGCTCACAGCATGTCGAATAACCTCCTGAGTATAACAGCTGGAGGCTAATTGTTTTCATTCAGTTCCATTTTAACCTTTGCAGTTCCCCGTACTTTCTTCCAGAAAGTACCAGATTTGCTTAAATGTTCCTTTTCAAAGATGTGATGACAAATTTTGAAGTAAACACGCAAGAAAGGTTTTACAAGTGAAACCTGTCCAAGAAGGATGCATGTGTGCACAAAAAAAAGGGTTGAGATGCTTTAAGTTTTTGTTTCGTTTTGTTTTGTTTTGTTTTGTTCTTTTTTACCAGCAACAAATAAAACTTACTGATGCCATCATAAGTAAATGGAGGGTCTAAGAACCTATTCAAATATTTCTTATTTGCAAAATGCATTCAGTTCCTTCTTTTTTTCAATTCTTGAAACAAAAGTCCATTACTACAAATTCAAATCTTTCAATGTCAAAACCAAACATTCAGTTCAAAATTAAGAAACGTCTGTGAAAAAGCTAAGTTTGCCCTCAGATAAAATACACCTACATTACATACATACAACATGGGTAATTAACCCAGAAATGGACAAAAATGTCCTCGACTCGGTCACAAAATAAAGATGGTAAATAAATAAACATTTACAATAATCTTCAGTACCATCCCACATTCCGGTCTTCATCCTCTTCCTTTTGTTTTTTTGGATGCACTGTTTTAAATGCTTGGTGAAGCATTTGTGTTCTAATTCTAATTTTATTCCACCCTGGCTGAAACGAAAACTTTACTGTTGGTGCCTTCCAGCAAATGACAGATAGAGGTATTTTAAAGACACTTTTAACAGAAGTTGATAGTTCAAGGTTTTCTCTTCTTCGTTCAGACGGCCTAGACGTGACAGAAACTCACATAGCTCACTCAATTTGCATGACGCAAGTAATGTTTTTCCAAAAGGTTTCAAAATGTATACTTTCATAATCACATCAGTCATTGAAGAAATGTCTATTTGTTGTTTATCCTTCACATAACATGAATTTGTGTGTGAAACTCACACACAAACCTTTCAATAAACCCTGAGTGTATGATTCTATAGTGAGTTGATGTCTTCATATACATAGTGCTAAATATGTCTGGTCAGAAATTTTAGGAGTGCTGTCCAATAACTGCCTGGAATTCACGAGTCCTGACATCAAACCCATCAGATAATCTCACAGATAAACTGGATCCCCTTTCGAGACCCAGACTTTATCTCCAAACCCCAGCACTTGTCTGCTGAAAGGGACAAATTCCCTCTGGTCAAGTTCCATGCTTGTGTTAAACCCTCTGAGGTCACTGAAAAGAACAAGGAGAACATCTTCAGGCATGTTCACATTGTATGAAAGACTCACACAGGTTTACAGGTTTTTAGAGTAGACGTCGTATTGAGTGTCGTTCCTTTTCATTTGAATAAATATATTTGAAATGGCTCTAAATAAATCTATCCACAAACATTCCTTCGGTTTGAAATGCTTAATTCTCTCAGTGCATTTTCCAGCCCATGACTCTGCAAACCTCCTCACCTCACCAATCTTTTTTCCACTTTTTTGCCCCCTCCCTCCATCTCGGTGAGCAGGTGCACAGTGACAGAGTCACTGAGCTGTGAAATTTCAGCTTCTTGAGACACATTTCATGCACTCACACAAAAAAGGCACAGCCTCAACCCTGCTTCCCTCTCTTTTGTGTCCTATTTTTCGTTCCTTTATCACATCTCTCTTCCTGTTGAAGTTTTAGACATGTTATGTGCACTTTTTGAGAGACTGGTGGATTTGATTTAGGAAGAAGCCAAAAAAAGAGAAAAACAATCAAGAGTGGGGTGAAAAATCCTCGCAGAGGTTTCATTAACTGCAAACAGAAGTCAGTGTTTACACGCTCATGCATGTGAGTGTGCGTGGGTGAGCACTCTTCCCTGAATATGTCTCTGACCACATCTACATCTTTAATGTCTTAGAGTGAATAATGTATGAACCCCCCCCCAGGCTTGAAGATGCACACACGCGCTGCTTTCACTATCATGAACGCCATGAAGTGCCTGTAAAATGTTTAGCCACAAAAGAGATTCAAAATCAAGTCTTTTGTCGCAACTAAGATTCAAACACCTTTTTTGGGTCAAAGAGAGAACGGCAGTTTTAAAGCAGACCAACGCCTTCTGCCCTTTTAACCACAATGGATTATCTACTACCAGCATCCTGTTAGTGTTCTGCAGCCTTCCTGTTGGAACGACTGCACTTGTAACATTGTCTGGTTATTTTCTACCTGTGTTTGGCTCTGTGCTAATGCGGTTTACCACTGGCCGCGCGATGCACTCGGCTGCAGCCATGCATGTACAAGTTCTAATTTGACTTTCAGATGTCTGCACTCTGTCATCTTTTTCGCATGCCCACACACTTTTTTCCACGGCTTATTAAGAATATGAAGATGAGAAGCTGGGGTCAGAGTTGGTCCGTACAGCAACAGTGCATAATGACGCCGTGACCTGGCTGACCGGCAGACCTTTGTCCATGGAAGCCTGGTATGTTATTAATCTTATTCTTCGAATTTGCAGCCTATTGCTGTTTTCGTTCGAAGCCTAACTTTTGCCTTGCTTTGTATCAATAAGATTCTCAGAAATTCTGAGAAAAACAACTGCTAGATAAGTGAAGAGCTCAATTTAAAAGCTTCCATGGGCCTGATTCCCGGCTGGCTTAATGAGAAGGGAACTTAAACCCATCACCTCCCATGGCTTTGGCAGTTACTTCACCAAGATTTGTTTATTCAATTAATTATCAATTAAACAGCAGATGAGGGGATATCTTTTATGTTTCACTTCAAGTTGGAAAATGCACATGCACACTAATCTAAAGTCCATTTCCTCTAGCTATATGTCTACTAGTAAATTAAAGCGTGGAAGCCAGAAGCTAACACTTCACATTCGCCCTCTTAAACCTCAATGGGCGTCTGTTCAGTGTTGTTCTTCTTCTGTAGGTGTGCCAGAAACTACAGAGCTTTGTTCCACCCACCCGCACAAATCATTCAGTTTGCAGTGGCCTAGGCATGGAGAGACCATATGATGTTGTGGCATCACCTCAGTCTTCAGCTAACCTCTGCCTGGAATGTGAGTGAGCCTCTAGTGAGTCACCTCTGTTGTGCTTTCAGGCTGGGTCAGCTCATGTGATTTGCTTTAGCACAACAGGAAAATGATACGGGAAAAAAATAGAATGAAATCATTACAGTTATAACCTTTCAAAACTCTTTTCCCCCCAATATTTTCAGATTTGAAAAAAAATGTTTGATTTTGCAAACTAATTTAAAAGCTTTCAAATAAAAAAATATGATAAATGTGATTACTTTTACTTTTATTTGGTTATTAGTAGAAATCCCTGCAGCAGTGGCCTCATAAAACCACACAGAAAAGCAATCATTAGTGTTTCCGCTGCACCGAGAAGCGATGGGGAGGGGGGGGGGGGGGGGGGGGGGGGGGGGGGGAGAAAAAAGGAGAAGAAAAAAAAAAGGGAAAAGACTTGTCAGAGCCCCGTGACCGCGCACGGTGCCATGCGCGCTCCCGTGCTCTGCTGCGCACAGACGGCCCGGTGCGGTGGAGAGGCAGGCAGGCAGGCAGGCAGGCTGGGAGGGGAGGAGAGCGCGGTATTACTAGTGACAGAAAACGGGCAGCGAGCACATACGGACTGGGGGAGCAGTTGATGCGACAAGGTAAGGAGAAAAAACGCTGCTGGATGCTTTGCGGACTTGTCCGTTTTCGCAGCGCGCGCTCGCTGCCCCTGCGCTCTGATCCGATGTCCTCTCTCCGTGCTGTTGTTTTGTGTCCGCAGATGCTGAGCGTCGCCCTGCTGTGTGTGTGCGCCCTCGGACACGTCGCGTCCCGCTCCGATAGCGGCAATTTTCTGGATGATAAGTGGCTCACCGGGCGATGGGACAAATTCAGAGATGTAAGTTACGTTTTTTTTCTTAGGCTACATTTTATGCCGTTATCGCATTTTTATCTCCCCCCTCCTCCCCTCATCCCCCTCCCCTCCCTCCTCCACATTATCTAATTTACACCCCCCTCTCAGCCTCCTTTCTCCCCCCGCGGGCGCACTCGTTGGCTTGTGGTCATGCGCTCCTCGTTTTGTCGTTATGTCCGAGCTCCGTGTCACGAGGTCCGTTGTGATGTTTGTCACACACGTTCATCAGCCGGGGAATAAGCTACGGGCAAAAAAAACCGGGATGATCCTTCTCGTGTCTGTGTCTGTTTGTGTGTGCGTGTGTTTGTTTTTTGTTTTTTTGCGATAGCACCCTCCTGCTTCCAGAGATAGCCTAGGCCCTCTGTGCACATCGCAGCCTGCGAGGCTCCCCTCTTAGAAAATAAAAAAGGGCCTGATTCTGAACAGGTACGAGGAGGGCGACTGTAGCAATGAGGTCCATTCTTAAGATGCAGACGCAGGGTTGCGTAAAATAGTATTTTTCTGCTATGCATTCACGTCCTTCTCGGTTGGCCTGCGTGGAGAATATGTTAATGAACAATTTGCACACACACACACACACACAAAAAAAAGCCTGTGAACAAGCCTACAACCATGCAGACAGTACCAAGTAGAGCAAGTGCACCGTCTCACAGCGGACCCTGCGGGATTGTTAAATGAATATTAAAAGAAGTCTGACTTATCAGGCGTACCTGTAGCCTACATAACATCCCCCTGTGATTTCCTCTTTCTTTCTTTCTTCCAGTGGAATAATGATTTAATGTGATTATGCCGTTGCTGAGTCCTCACTCGCAGTATATGTCAACCACTATTAACCCGGCATGGTAAGGCCACTTAAGGCAGTAATGCTGCTGGCCGTCTGGGATAATGCGCCGGCCATGCGGTCAGGCTGCTGCTGCTGCTGCAATTAGGGGCTCCACCGTAGGTTGTTGATGCTCTGCATTGTGGCAAAGGATACTTATATACAGTCAAGAGCCCTCCTGTGAGGAAACGTAGTGGCTTTGTGCCATTTTAGCACGCCATGAATCAGACGTGCTCTCCATAGTGCCGCCTGTGGAAGTCACTGCTGTGATGTTTTTCGACATGATTGTATTTTACTAAGAAGGATATCTCGCCTCGAGCCACTCGTTGAATGTGTCCACACAACCAGAACAGATTGGTGCATGCTTGAACTCGTACTCGCACACACCAACAACCATACAAATACGTATTTAAGCATGTGTTATGTGAGCAACCACAAATGAGAAGAAGCTGTATGTCTATTTTTGTTTGTTAAAAAAAAAATATATATATATCTGTTCAATGGTGCTGCAAAAATACCAGGGTTTGCATGTCACATCGACCACAAAACGGACCCCCATCTTGGTTTCACTTTGTCTGGTGATACAAGAAAGAGGAAAATAGTGTCTTTTTTGTAAGTTTGTTTAGGTGAACTTAAGGATAAGTGTTCTTACAACAGAAGTCTTCTCTGCTGTTGGCACTGAAGCATGTGAGCCATTTGGCCCAATTAAACCCATGTGATACACCACAAGTCCACAATTGGATTATGCCAAAGGTGTCAGGAACAAAAGGTTGGAGAGGAAGTATAATTGAATTTGTGCCCATTGCTATTTAAGATGATTTCACTTCCTGAGCTGCAGGGAAAACAAGATTGTACGTGTGAGATGGGGACACAGTTAACTGAGTTTGGAGACAGTTTTAAACCATTTTAAAACATAGATAGATAGATAGATAGATAGATAGATAGATAGATAGATAGATA